CTCCTCTCTCCTATGGCCTGTATAGTTCGATGTAGGCCATCCACACAGCCACAAGCCCTGGCAGCTCCTGCTTCTTCCTCTTTTCAATTCCCAAAATGAATCACTCCATCACCAGCCTGAATCATCTGTTTGCTAATGACACAGCTGGGGACTCTGACAGGGGCTCTGCACCATCCCCACCTTAATGGAATGTCTACGAAGCATCACCTGCCCAATGCAACCCAGCTTTTAAGGATGTGAAAATTCAACTCTTGAAAATACACCGAGTGAAACAAAGTTGAACCTTTTCTCTTTCTTTTAGCACGTCCCAGAGTCTAATAGTTCCAAAACCACAATGAATTTTCAAGAAGGGATAATGGTATACTGTGTTTCCCCCAAACTCTCTTTTTCCCTCCAAAGAACAAATGTTAAGAAAGGTTAAGATGTTTCTCCAAGATACCTTCCCTGATAATCCCAGTAATTTGTTCTCTAGGTACTTTGTACCCTGAGTATCTCAGATGATTTAGTACCTGTTTGTAGAGTTGAATGAGATAGGGATTTATATTCTTTTGGTAGCTGCTATGGCACTTCCCAGGTGGCGCTAGTGGTATAGAACCCTCCTGCCAATGCAGGAGATATGAGACGTGGGTTCGATCTCTGGGGTGGGAAGATCCCCTGGAATAGGAAATGGCAATCCACTCCAGTGTTCTTGCCTGGAGAATCCCATGGACAGAGGAGCTTGGCGGGCTACAGTTCATGGGGTCACAAAGAGTCAGACACGACTAAGTGACTGAGCACATAAGAATTTCTCATCCTTTACAGACAACCAGTGGGAATTTGCTGAGTGATGCAGGGAGCTTAAACCTGGTGCTCTGTGAAACTTAGAAGGGTGGGATGGGGTGGGAGGTGGGAAGGAGGTTCAGGAGGGAGGGGACATATGTATACCTATGGCTGATTCATGTTGATGTATGGCAGAAACCAACATGATATTGTAAAGCAATTATCCTCCAATTAAAAATTAAATTTTTAAAAATTTTAATAAAAAAAAATTTCTTATCCTCTTGGGATGCAGGTTAAGTCGAACAACAGGACATCCTTTTGAGTCCTATCAGGGGTCGCCCATAAGGCCTTTGTTTCCTTGAACTGCTAATAGGTTGTAGTAGGTTAATTTGGAGGCAGCACTGAATTGCTTTAATAATAGAAGTCTGAGACGTTTGAAGTTCCCAGGGAAATTTCAGGAAGGAGAGAGGAGTCCGGCAGACTAAAAATGCTGCATGGGAAAAAGACCAGAGAGGAAAAAGAAAACAAACAAACAAACTAATGGTAGGTCTGCTGAAAAGACGCTTTGGGGAGAACACTAATTTTTAAGCTGTTTGCTACTGAAAGCACAGCACAAGCTGCTTTTTTGTCTCCACGGTGAGGTTGTCACTGGTTGATCCTTGGCCCACAACCTGTGCATGTGAGTGAATTCTTGTGTGGTCACGGCTCCATAGCAGAGGGGCTGGAGCTGGCAGTGGGAAACTGATGCCTGGGTGGCATTGTTACCTATACTAATGTCCCATCAACTCCACTGGTCTATAAGCACCTATTTAGTGACTGAGTGAATAGGTGCGTGGATTTCTAAGCTGAAGCAGCAGGTAATGGTTTCTCTCTCTTCTTTTTTTTGCTGTGCCACATGGCATGTGCGATCTTAGTTCCCTGATGAGGGATGGCACCTGTGCCGCCTGCATTGGAAGTGTGGAGTCTTAACCTTTGGACCTCCAGGGAAGTCTCCCAAGGGTTTCCCTTTAGAAACTAGATCAGACCTTACAGATATCAATGAGAGAATTGCTTAGGAAAGTGGGCACAGATTAGTGGCTTAATATGTCTTTGGTGAACTAACCAATCACCAAGTCAGTGAGAAAAAGGTGCTCTTCTTTTGGTTGTAAGCACATTCTTCCATCTAGAAAGTATGAAAGATTTAATCCTTGACAGAAGACGATGACTTGAATTATGAAAGCCAGGATTTCTAGATTCCAAGCAAGTCTCTTCCTTGTTCACTAAATAAGGAAACATGGTAAAATACAGAGATTTCTGACTTCTCCATGGTCTTAGGAATAGTTCTTCTCTTACATTTTTCATAACAGTGTTTTCATAACACTTCATGACAGACTAGTGTGCTGATGATCAGCATGTTGTGTGGGATATCTCACACGCCTTGGTTTTGCCACAGCGTTTCAAGGTTCAGTTATAACTAGGTCCTGCGTCCCATTGTGGGCTGAAAAAGATAATCACAGAGGCTTTATTTCCCCGCTCTGTTTCTATTTTCTTTGAAAGCCTATCAGCTTCTTGAGGGAAGGGAACATGTCTCACTCATTCCTGCAGCCGCACTGCCTGGCAGTCTCTGGGCCATAGTGAGCGCTGAGTCAGCACTTTTGAACTGAACTGTATGTGGGTGGAGGGAAGCTGATTGCTGGAGCAGTGGTGGTGACCAACTCAAGAATAACTGGTTACACAATAGCCAAGACACGGAAGCAACTTAAATGTCCACCAACAGAAGAATGGATAAAGAAGATGTGGTGTGTGTGTGTGTGTGTGTGTGTGTGTGTGTGTGTGTGTGTGTGTATATATATATATATATATATATATATATACACATAGGAATATCACGCAGCCATTAAAAAGAATGAAATGATGCCATCTGCAACAACATGGATGTACCTAGAGAGTGTCATGCTGAGTGAAGTAAGTCAGACAGAAAAGGGAAAATGTCATATGTCATCTCTTATATATAGAATTTAAAAAGAAATTATACAAATGAACTTAACTTACAAAACAGAAATGGATTCACAGACTTAGAGAACAAACATGTTTACCGTGGGGAAGGATGGGGGGATGGGATAGTTAAGGGATCTGGGCATTGACATGTACACTCTGCTAAAACGGATAACCAATAAAGACCTACTTTATAGCACAAGGAGCTCTGCTCAATGTTATATGGCAACCTGGAAGGGAGGGGAGTTTGGGAGAGAATGGATACATGTATATATATGGCTGATTCCCTTCCCTTTTCACTTGAAACTATCACAACATTGTTTGTTAATTGGCTATACCCCAACACAAAATAAAAAATTTTTTAAAAAGGAAGAGAAGAAAAAGAAGTATCCTTTAGAGGCTTTCCTTGTGGTCCCATGATTAAGACTTCGCCTTCCTTTGCAGGGGATGTGGGTTTGATCCCTGATTGGGGAGCTAAGATCCCACATGTCTTGGGACCAAATTACCAAAAAACATAAAATAGAACACTATCGTGGCAAGTTCAAAAAAGACTTTAAAAAATTGGAGTATTTTTATCCTATTGTTCATTGCAGCAGCTAGAACATGGAAGCAACCTAGATGTCCATTGACAGATGAGTGGATAAATAAGCTGTGGTACATATATACAATGGAATATTACTCAGCCATAAAAAGGAATGCATTTGAGTCAGTTCTGATGAGGTGGGTGAACCTAGAACCTATTATACAGAGTGAAGTGAGTCAGAAAGAGAAAGATAAATGTTGTATTCTATGCATGTATATGGAATCTAGAAAAATGGTACTGAATAATTTATTCATAGGGCAGCAGTTGAGAAACAGAAATAGAGAATGGACTTATGGACATGGGAAGAGGGCAGGAGAGGGTGAGATGTATGGAAAGAGTAACATGGAAACTTACATCACCATATGTAAAATAGATAGCCAACGGGAATTTGCTTTATGGCTCAAGAAACTCAAACAGGGGCTCTGTATCAACCTAGAGGGGTGGGATGGGGAGGGAGCTGGGAGGGAGGCTCAGGAGGGTGGGGATATGTGTATTCCTATGGCTGATTCATGTTGAGGTTTGACAGAAAACAACAAAATTCTGTAAAGCAATTATCCTTCAATAAAAACATAAATTAAAAAAAAAATTGGAGTTTTTTTTTTTTTTAAGTATCCTGTAATCAGGTACACCCATACCTGACAGAAGTGTGAAATGAGAAACTCATTATCAGTGTGATAAGGAATTGCATCATGACCACCTGAGGAGGAGTATTTAGGCTTTTGGTAGAAAGCGTGGCTGATACAATATCACCCTTGTTTCCACAGTGGCCCCACCTTTAGGAATCCCCACAACAAGGAAATCCATTTACTGGGAAACCATCCATCAGTCCCAGTTATCCATTGGAAGGAGAGTGGGGAAAGATTTGGCTATCCTTGCAGGAGTTATGCTGGGCTCCTGAGATGCCACAGTTGGTAGAAGAGGTGACCCAACAGCCTGGCATCTGCAGAGGGAGGCCCTAGACTCAGTTATATGACGATAACTTGACCCTTTTGTCAGTTGATTATTCAGTCATTTATTCACCAAAATCTATTAAGCCTGTGCTGTGACAGGGTTTTTCCGGGTAGCTCAAATGGTAAAGAATCTGCCTGCAATGTGGGAGGCCTTAGTTCAATCCTTGGGTCGGGAAGATCCCCTAGAGAAGGGAGTGGCAACTCACTGCAGTATTCTCATCTGGAGAATTCCAGGGACAGAGGAGCCTGGTGGGCTACAGTCCATGGGTTCGCAAAGAGTTGGACATGACTGAGTGACTAACACTTCTGTGACAGGCACCATTCTAGATACATGAAATTCATTCATGAAGTCAGTAAAAAAGTTTCTGCTCATGGGATGTGTGATAACACACATGTACACATAAATGAGAATGACATCAGAGAGTAATATTAAAGCAGGATGATTTGACACAGAATGGCTAAGTGGGGGTCCAGAAAGGCATCTCACAGGCACCATACCTCTGCTGAGACCTGAATTAGGAGGAGGTGCCTAAGGAGCCAGAGGAAGATCATTCCAGGCTGAGGGAGCAGCCAGTGCAAGGACCCTTTGGTCTTTCTCTTGGTGTGCTCCTGGAGTGAGGAGCAGGGTGGGCGAGGGGAGGGTGGAGCAGGTGGAAATGGAAGGAGTTGAGTCCAGCCCTTCCGGTCTTACCAGGGTTAACGCTCTGTCTTCTCTTCCCGGTCTCCCCCCGCAGACGATTTTGCAGAGGAGGAGGAGGTACATTCCTTCGGTTACAAGCGGTTTGGTAAGTTCCAACAAAGCTCCGTTCCTTCTCTGTGCTCCATCTGGGAAATGGTAATGTGACTGTAGCTGGACCTTTGATGCACAAGAACATGTTTGGCTCTAAGGCCCAGTTCTGGTTGCATGTTGAGTTTCTGTATTAACAAGTAGGTGATTTGTCACGAAATCAGAGGGTCATGGGACAGGAGTTGCACCCAGGCGTGGTTGGGGAAGGGATGGGATGCTTGGGGGCTTGCCGAATACAAACCAGATGGCCTAACAGGAACAACATGGTGGGGAAGGTTAATCTGTGACAAGACAGGCATTTCTCTATTTTGAGATTTAGGAGACATCTTTTCCCTTTTTCCTCAAGGCCCAATCTCTTAACTTAGTCATTGTTAAGGGAGAAGTGAGAGGAAGAACTTTTCCAGGAATCCATCTAGACACCAGTGCTCCATGGTAGGCTGAACAAAGATACCCTCATTCTAATCCCTGGAACTTGAATGTTGCCTTCTGTGGCAGAAAGCATTTTGCAGATGTGATTAAGTGGAGACTGAGAAGGGGATGTTATTTTGTACTACCTGGGTGGGCTCTAAATGTAGTCATAGGTAACCTTGTAAAAGGGAGGGAGAGGAAGATTTGACTGTGGAGAGAAGATGGGATGATGGGAACAGAGAGTGGTGTGATGAGCACTGCAGATGGAGGAAGGGGCCACAAGCCACGGGATGCATGTGGCCACTAGATGCTAAAAAAGGCAAGGAAATAGATTTTCTGTTCGGAGAACTTTGGTGGGAGTGCAGCCCCGCCAACATCTTGACTTTGGCTGACTGAAGCTCATCTGAGACTTCTGGCCTCTCAAACTAGAAGAGAAGACATCAGTGTTTTAAGCCACCAAGTTTGTGGTGATCTGTCACGGCAGCCACAGGAAACACATGCTAGCTCCTGTTTTCCTTGGCTGCTGTTCTCGGATGGTCTTCTGTCTTTGACCATGCTTCCCGGGTTCTGCAGTTTGGCATCGAACTGCCAATGAAAACATGACAAAAGTTCCAAAGACAGTTCAAAGGAACTGAGGTTTTTCTGTCTAGCGTGTTTCTATGCCTTGATTGGAGGAAATGAAGAAGGTTAGAGTAAAAAGGAATGAGAGAGAATGTGTGTCTGTGAGAGAGAGAGAGAGAGAGACAATATGAAAGAGAATAAATCTACTTCCTGTTGCTTAAAAAAAAATTCCTGGCCAGACTTTGATTAAAGTTAACATCCCCCAGCTGCTCTGGCTCTCTCATCACTTTAGCATTTTTCCTTCTGGATATGTGCTTATGTATTTCTTTCTGGGAATAAAATAGGGTTTAATGTGGGAATGCAGTGGCATGGAGCCCATGGCCCCTCCATTCATGTGCTGGCAGAGAGGCTTTGCCCACCATGCCCTCCCCTTCCCCCCCACTACTGTTCTTTATCTGCACAATTACATGTTTCAGGATTAATACCATGTGTTGGGCTGCTTTCCCATCGTGGGTTCATTGAAGGCCATCATAGGAGTGAAGAGGAAACCAGACATGATAAAGGAGAGGAAAAACAAACAAAAATTAAAAGGTAGAAATAAGGAGGAAAATAAAACTTTTAAAAATAAGGCAGAATAAATATTGACATGCCCGTATATTTTAGAAATCAGTAGATTGCAGATCTCCATTGTGGAAATCAGTAGAAACATGAAGAGCCAAGAGAAAAGAGCAACCTGAAGAGAAATTTTATTTAAAATTTAGTGACTCTGTAAGTAGCTAGATGGGCAGGGGTTTGATGGATGACACAAAAGCATAGTAAGTTGCTGAAGGGATTTAATTTACGGTGGTTAAGTGATGTGTGGAAACCGCAAACTGATGATCAGAGGGAGACGTGATAACAATGTCCAAATACTGGAGGACGAGGGAGACATGGAGAGACGGATACCACATAGCACTAGTAGAAGAACAGAGGGATGGAATGGAAACGGGAAACTTTGGAATGGACCGTGAGAGAGACATACCGAGTTTGACATTTGGGTTCAATTGTTAGGCACAGTGCTGGATAGCCAGCATTGGGGTCAAGTAGAATTTGGAAGAGATTTTCCAGTGATCTGTATCGGCCTTTAATTTTACAGATAAGGAAGGTGAGGCCCAGGTAGATTAAGTCCTTGCTCAGGCAGGTTAACTGGAGCTGGGTTGGATGGTGGGTCTTTGAACTCTCGGGCCAGCGTAGTTTTGAGGAAGGTCCAACAGTGAGGTTGAGATTGACCTCTCAACTCCTGTGTCCTGGAAGCATCCCTGCTGTTCTGGTACCCTGAAGTGAGCTGAATACCCAATCTGGCCCCACCAGGGAGGCCTTATCACTTTCACAGTGCCTGGAACTCTGGACCTGGTTTTAGAGAAGGTAAATGGGTTTTGGAACTTCCTAGGTGGCTCAATGGTAAAGAGCTGGCCTGCTAATGCAGGAGAGGTGGGTTCCATCCCGGGGTCAAGAAGATCCCCTGGAGGAGGCAATGGCAACCCACTTTAGTATGCTTGCCTAAAAAAATCCAGAGGACAGAGGAGCCTGGCAGACTACAATCCATGGGGTAGTTGTTGGACAAAGAGTTGGACACAATTGAGCAGCTCAGCATGCATGGAAATGGGTTTTTAGAGGCTGTGACTGGTCATTGAAAGCAGCAGAACCCAAGAACCCATTCCTTCAGGTATGATTCAATTTTAACCATGAAAGGAAGACAAAGTTGGTGAAAGATGGTGAGTGGGGGCATCCAGAGACCAGGCAGTCCTGTCGGCCCTGCCCCCACTTACTGTTGTGACCTGGGACCAGACATTTCCACTCTGTGGGTCTCAGATGCCACATCCGCCTGCTGGGCAGAGTGACACCTGCCATGGTGGTAAGTCCAGCTCACAAAGCTTTGGTGCGACCGAGTAGGGTACTAGATGGACAAGTGCTTTGAACGTGCAGTGCTATGTAAACAAAGATGGTGGTACCACTTGCCTGGAATTTGGGGCTGTTATCGCTTTCTGGACATTTTAATCCAGCTGCTGCAGAATATAGGCTTCCCTGGTGGCTCAGATGGTTAAAAAAAATCCTCCTGCAATGTGGGAGACCTGGGTTCGATCCCTGGGTTGAGAAGATCCCCTGGAGAAGGAAATGGCAACCCACTCCAGTATTCTTGCCTGGAGAATCCCATGGCCAGAGGAGCCTGGTGGGCTACAGTCCATGTGGTCACAAAGAGTCGGACACCACTGAGCGACAGAGCACACACTGCATAATATGGAAATGTGCCAGGTCTGAAATCTCATTCCTGAAAAGAGATGTGAAGATGAGCACGGTAGTAGTATCATTGGCTTTTATTTTTGCAAAAGAGACTGATAACCTAAGCGTCCATGTATGCTTTAGTTGTGTTTGACTCTGTGCATAGGGGTTAGTTATTGTCTAACTTTGGAGAAGGAAATGCAACCCACTCAAGTATTCTTGCCTGGAGAATCCCATGGCCAGAGGAGCCTGGTGGGCTACAGTCCATGTGGTCACAAAGAGTCGGACACCACTGAGCGACAGAGCACACACTGCATAATATGGAAATGTGCCAGGTCTGAAATCTCATTCCTGAAAAGAGATGTGAAGATGAGCACGGTAGTAGTATCACTGGCTTTTATTTTTGCAAAAGAGACTGATAACCTAAGCGTCCATGTATGCTTTAGTTGTGTTTGACTCTGTGCATAGGGGTTAGTTATTGTCTAACTTTGGAGAAGGAAATGCAACCCACTCCAGGATTCTTGCCTGGAGAATTCCATGGAAAGAGGAGCCTGGAGAGCTACAGTCCATGGGGTCACAAAGAGTCGGACATGACTAAACCCCTAACAAACATTGTCTAATTTTAGGTAAGTCTTGTTTGTGCAAATACAGTGGTTAAAACCTGAATTTAGACTGTAGATGAATTATTTGCAGGGATTAATTATTTGCAGGGCGTGGGGGCTACTATTTTAGCAAATTGTTATCTGGTAGCTTGCTTCCAAAATTATTTATGTATATTTATTCAGAAACACTTGCTACATAAAGTCAAGTCTTGTTTACATAATAATATTGTACTTTTTCAAATTCAGTACAGAATTAAAATAGCAAAATGGGTGATCATCTCCAATAATCTCATATGTGATGGTATTATTTTGGAATGGTCATCCCTTGTCTATTCAAGGATTCATTGTCACATTTTGGTTTCAACCAAGGCTTCTGTTTTTCTTCCATATGTCTTCATGTCCTGCTTTATTAGCCCCTTCCCCAAAGTTCTGGGCAGGTGTCTAGAGAAGAGATTGATTTAAGTTTGATGGGTTTGCCACTTATCTGCTCCTCTGATGAAAGCTCTGATGAGGGGAAGCTTTGAAAGGTTAATGAAGTGAGCATTTTCAAATTTTCATCAGATTCTGTGGGGCAGTGTTTCTTGGCTTCAGTGTGCAGATTAATTAATTTGGGATGTAACTATAGTTACAGCTTGGCAGGGTTCATTCTCTGGAACATGAGGTACCACTATATCAGGTTTTATTTTTTATGGCTAGAATATGATATATATTACAATGATATCTTTCTACTTATTTCCCAGTTACTGTTTTCTTCAAAAATATCACACGTGGCTCTAGGATCTTTAATTAGCATAGTTCTCAGAAAGGGAAAGAGAATTTGCTCCTACTCTACAGGACAAATATGAATTCATAAAATTTGGAATTTTCGGTAAGTTGCTCCAAAAATAGCTTCTGAAACCTTCTGATTAGTCATGTGATTAACACGAGTGCATTCAAGTTAAAAAGTTTTTTTTCCCATTAATAGAGGGTTTTTTTCCCCCCATGATAGAGTAGGAGGGAAGAAGAATGTCATTTCAGCTCCAAGGAATAAATGAGTCCCAGTTCCATAGAGAGACATGTGGGAAGAGGGGTGAGTCCCTGATCCTGCTTTAACCCGCTTTAGAAATGACTGTAACAAATCCAGCTCACATTTGTGAATCGCTTTCATCTTTTCAAAGGGCGTACTGAT